GCATCTTCACACCTTAGATCAGCAACAATTCCTGTACATTCACTCCTCAGATCCCCCCAATTCCTGCACCTTCAGACCTCAGATCAGCCCCAATTCCTGCACCTTCACACCTCAGATCAGCCCCAATTCCTGAACCTTCACACCTCAGATCAGCCCCAATTCCTGCACATTCACCCCTCAATTCACCTAAATACCTGCACCTTCTCACCTCAGTTCAGCCCAATTCCTGCACATCCCCCCCCCCCCCAGATCACCCCAATTCCTCCACCTTTACACCTCAAATCAACCACAATTCCTGCCCCATCACAACTCAGATCACCCCATTTCCTCCAGCTTCACACCTCAATTCACCCCAATTCCTGCACCTTCGCACCTCAATTCACCCCAATTCCTGCACCTTCATACCTCAGATCACTCTAGTGCCTGCATATTCACCCCTCTGATTGCGCCAATTCCTGCACCTTCACACCTCAAATCAGCCAAAATTCCTGCCCCATCACAATTCAGATCACCCCATGACCTTCACAACTAGAGAACACCCCAATTTCTCCACCTTCACTACTCAGATCACCCCAATTCCTGCACCTTCACAACTCAGATCACCCCAATTCCTTCACAACTCAGATCACCACAATTCCTGCACCTTCACCCATCAGATTAGCCCCAATTTATGCACTTTCACATGTCAAATTAGCCCCAATTCCTGCACCTTCATACCGCAGATCACTCTAGTTCCTGCACATTCACCCATCAGATTGCCCCAATTCCTGCACCTTCACACCTCAAATCAACCACAATTCCTGCTCCATCACAACTCAGATCACCCCAATTCCTTCACAACTCAGATCACCACAATTCCTGCACCTTCACCCATCAGATTAGCCCCAATTTATGCATTTTCACATGTCAAATTAGCCCCAATTCCTGCACCTTCATACCGCAGATCAACCACAATTCCTGCTCCATCATAGCTCAGATCACCCCAATTCCTGCCCCATCACAATTCAGATCACCCCAATTCCTGTACCCTCACAACTCAGATCACCCTAATTCCTCCACCTTCACACCTCAGATCAGCCAATTTCTGCACCTGCACACCTCAGATCATCCCAAATATTTCACCTCTAAATTAGCAGTTTCCAATAACTGGTTAATTACCAGTGTAAAATGAGAGCAGGCAGCTCAAGGTGTCTGACTTAGCGTCAGGACCAGATCTAGCCTGCCTGATGTGAGGGTGCAGTAAGAAATATTGGGGAACAGAGGATGGGAAGTCAGCAGGGCAGAGGATAGGGTCAGCAGTGTATAGTACAGTGTAGAGAGGCCAACAGGGCAGAGAATGAGAGGTAAGCATGGGAGTGTACAGGGGTCAACAAAACAGGAAACTGTAGGGGTGGAGAACAGGGTTCAGCAGGGTGATCAGCAGGAGTTAGCAGTGCAGAAGACAGGGGTCATGTAGGGCAGAGGACAAGGGGTCAGCAGGGCAGTTTACACAGGTCATCAGGGGAGTATACAAGGGTTAGCAGTGCAAAGGATGGGGTCAGCAAAGCATAGGACAGGGTCATCTGGGTGGAAGAACGGGTTCAACAGCACAGAGGATGGGCCAGCAGGGCATAAGATAGGGTAATCAGGGAAGAAGACAGGGTCAACAAGGTAAAGGACAGGGGGCAGAGTATAGGGTCAATGGGGCATAGGAAAGGGGTCATTGGGACATAGGACAGGGTCAGAGGGGCAGGCGGTAGGGTCAGAGGAAAAGAGGGACAGGGTTAGTTGGGCAGAGGATATGGTGAGCAGGGAATAGGACAGGGATGAGCAGGATAGAGGACAGGGATCTGCAGAGTCAAGGATGGGGTCAGTGGGACATAGGATGGGGTCATCAGGACATAGGACAGTCATTATCGGGGCAGAGGACAGGGTCAATGAGGCAGAGGATGAGGTCAATGGGGGATAGGATGAGGTCAAAGGGGCTGAGGATGGGGTCAATGGGTCAAAAGATGGGGTCAGCTGAACATAGGATGGGGCCAACAGGGCATAGGACGGGATCAGCAGGGAAAAGAGTCAGTTAGATAGAGTATGGGGTCAGTGGAGCATAGGAAAGGGGTCAATGGGAAATAGGGCAGGGTTGGTGGGACAGAGGACAAGGTCAGCAAGGAAGAGGACAGGATGAGCAGGAAAGAGGACAGGGATGAGCAGAATAGAGGACAGGGGTCTGTAGGTTCAAGGATGGGGTCACTGGGGCATAGGATGGGGTCAGCAGGACATAGGACAGTCATCAGTGGGGCAGAGGACAGGGTCAATGAGGCAGAGGACGAGGTCAACGGGAAGGATGAGGGGCTTAGGATGGGAGTCAACAGGTCAGATGATGGGGACAACAGGGCAGAGGGTGGAGTCAGCAGGGTATAGGTTAGCATCAGCAGAGCATGGAATGGGGTCAGAAGGGGATAGGATGGGGTAGCAGGGCAATGCATAGTATAAGCAGGGCAAAGGAGGGTTACCAGGGCAGAGGATGGGGTGAATGCTGGCAGTGTACTCATCAGAGTTATTCCTCCCCATACTGCACATGAGTAAAGTTGGATTATTTTTCAGACACAACTTTAATGTTCCCAGTGTGTTGTTGGCTGTTGCAGATGTGTTGCCATTCCGATATGAGGGTTTCACAGGTCAGAGCTGCTACAGCCAGCAACACAGTGAAGATTGGGGTTTTGTCTGTAAAAGAATCCAACTTTACCTGTGTGAAGTGTGGGAACTCAAGGAGCAGCTCTCCTGCATGTCCTTTGATGAGTACAGTCTGAGGTTGGGGGGAGGAGCTCACCAAACCAAGTACAGCATCCACTGGGGGAGCGCAACGCACCATCCACTACATACAGCCATCCTCAATACAGCTTTGTTGGCTGCAGGCAAGCCGAGTGAGATGGGTGGCAACGGAGGCAGTAGGGAATTGAAGTGACAAAAAGCCGGCCATGCTCCCTTCTGTGTAGCGAGCGGAAGGCACGAGTCGGCTTTGCTGAAGTGTGAGAGGTGTCCCAGGCTTCCCTTGTGTGCCATGATAAATGTGGTGGTGTGCCACGTCTGGCATGCGTGGGGGGGGGGGGTTGCCGACCCCCTGTTCTAATCCTTCCATGCATTATCCAAAACTAGACATACACTTTAACCACTTGCCATCCAGAGAATTTACACTCCTTCCTGACCAGGCCATTTTTTGCGTTACGGCACTGCGTTACTTTAACTGACAATTGCACGGTCATGCAACACTGCACCCAAATAAAATTTATGTCCTTTTTTCCCACAAATGGAGCTTTCATTTGGTGATATTTGATTACCTGTGCATTTTTTATTTTTTGCGCTATAAACAAAAAAATTTTGAGAAAAAGAATATTGTTGACTTTTTGCTATTAAACATGTCCAGTAAAAATTTTTTTAAAAATCAAATTTCATCATAAATGTAGGCCAAAATGTATTCTGCTACATGTATTTGCTAAAAAGAAATCCCAATACATGTTAATTAATTGGTTTACAAATGGCGGTATATATACTGGAATTTTTTTTTTTTATAGTAGTAATGGCGGCGATCAGCGACTGCGGGACTCTGGCGGGCATTCTGACACTGAGGGGAACTGACTGTCACTGACATCCTAAGTGACACTAATATAGTGATCAGTACTAATAAAAAACATTGACACTGTACTAATGGCACTGGGCATGAAGGGGTTAACATCTGGGGTGATCAAAGGGTTAACTGTGTGCTGTTTTACTGTGTGCTGTGCTTTACTGTGTAAGCACGCTGCTTTGTATTGCTCTGCTTTGCATCAAAATGGCCGTTCCTTCCAGTTTAGCATCAGACGTCATGTCACTGACACGTTTCGTCACTTCCGACTTCTTCTCGAAAAGTCGGAAGTGACAAAACGCATCAGACCATTTTGATTACTGGAATTTCAGCACACGAACTGCTGGGACTGATTGACGGATCTAACAATCCTCTATGTAAGAATTTTAATAAATTTTGGTATACCTTTATTATTCTACTGATGGATCTCTTCTTTACCTCCATGAGGAATTGGGGAAATTGAAAAGGGTATACCTGCAGGGTGGAAGCTGATAAGGAATACCATACCCTGAAATGCTGGTTTATGCTGCAAGAGGGTAATTGCCTTGAATCCCACTAGTATGTGGCATCACTGAATGTTCACTTCACCTGTTATGTGCATTGGAAGCTGACAAGCAAACACTGTTCACATCTTGAAATGCTTGTGATTTCAAGAGGATAATAGCATTTAATCCCACTAGTGTGAGGTGTCACGAAGTGCTCACTTCATTTTTTGGTGTATTGAAGTTCACTTTTCGATGTGTTGAATTTCACTGAGTGTTGTGTGGAGTTATTTATTTATTTATATATATATTATTTTTGTTGTTTTTTATTCGTGTGTGTGTTTTTCCCACATTGGCAGGAATGTACACTGGAAAATATTTAATTTAAATTTTTTGTGCATGATTCACGTGTCACTAATATATTATTGTATGTTATATGAAGGTAATACACTATATTTAGTTTCATTTTTTTGAGGTTTTCTGGATCTGGATTGGCGAATTGATTTGGACACATTAAAGAACTTTTGAAGATTTTTGGTATTCTGGACATTATTATTTTGGACTATCTTTTGAATTAGGTTGTGGGTTCTGCGACAACGGTTTAAAAGGGAAAATTTGTTAGCGGGTTTTATTTGTGAAAAGGTTTATAATAGCTGTGCATGGTAGCCAATCAGCTTCCAAACCTCAACTCGTTCAATTAAGCTTTAGCAATAAAACCCAGAAGCTGACTTGAAGTATACGAGATTCTCAGTGAACCATCTTTATTAAATAAACTCCAGAATGTCTTTAACAATTTTGTAGGAGAGATTTATAAAAAACTGGATTTATGGCTGAAAGTTGACATGAATCATAAATTCTAAGAATACACCATTAATCAAAACTTACCTGAATGATGTACGAGCTAATGTTGTGCCATCAACCCATTTAAAGGTATTTTCCACCTCTTCATCGGTCAAACCAATCCAAAGAAATCTCTCTCTTCTGCTTTGGTCTAAGAAATTCTATGAAAAAATCCATTGATGTTAGGGTGAGTAGGGCTACAGATTATGGTGGGTTACACAAAAAATTGCCTTTCCCAACACTGTCCCTCTAAAAAACAAAAGCCTGCAATGCTTCTCAAATCTCAGCACCCAATTTAAACTTTACTTTAAAAGAACTATTGATGCTAAGTTCACCTTTCGAATCATGATACAAGTTACAGCCATATTTAGGGTATAACATGTAACTTGGTTCCTCGCTCAGCTCCCCAACCCCTTCTCGTGATAGTGGGCGGTGGATCCTCTCCCTGCACCCGCTGTCACATTTTGAAATTGGTGCAACTGTGCGGTGCTCCATAAAAGAGATCAAGAACAGTAGGACATAACCTCAAACTAGCAGGAGGAACAACTAATCACAGTATTATTTTACCAAAAGAGTAATTGTTGCTTGGAATAGACTTCCAGCAAAGGTAGTGAGCCAGACAACAGTAAGTGGATTCAAACATACTTGGGAGCTATAGTCAGGAAAAAAAAAAGTAAAAAAAAAAAAACCCATATGTATAAAAAAAAAATGGGGCAGACTCGATAGTCCACTTGGTCTTTTTTGTGCTGTCACTCTTCTCTGTTTTTATGTAACTATTGACATACCATCAGCATACACCATATACTTCACCGTATTCATAACTAAAAAGCAATCACGCCTATTCTTTCTGATGTATGTGGACATCAGAAAGTCTTTTGATACAGTTCTCTGGCATTGCCTAAATGTAATATTAGAACTCTGGAGATTTGGCCACCAATCACAGCATTATAAACCAATCCTAAATCCGGTATTTAGACCTTTGCTGCCCATACTTTGGTGGATAATTCCTTCTTACTTGCTCTTTCAGGCTGTCGATAATAGCTAAATGGCCTCCCCTGTTCAGGCACATATTTTCTGCTTTTTTCCAGGTGAGTTGAAAAGTAGAGAGGAAATAACAATGCTTTTCAAATTCCAGCCATTCATTTTCACAGGATCTGCCTGAAGAGAAAAGGCAAGGCAAGCAAGAAAGGTGGGAAAGGAAAAATGAAAGGAAATACAATTAACATTTAACTATTAATCATACTTTAGATATTGCAAATTTGTGCCTTTGTATATACTATGTGTGTATACTGTATATTATATATGTAAAACACCCCCAAAAGAGCAGCTGGTGAATTAAGTCCTATTTCTCCCTTGTAGCACAAACAGCCAGGCACAGCATTTTCAGGATTCTTCCTCTGTCTCAGAGGACCAGTCTAGGGATTTTTGTGTGTGTTTTTATTGGGGAACAATGAACATGGATAGGGATAAGGAGCATGGGATACCATGAAACTGTAAACTGTACAACTTAAAGTCCCTTCAACATCTGTCTGCACTGCCTGCCCTGGAATTCTGGATCTCTAGGCTGACAATGACCTGTACTCATTCCAGAGTTTCAAAGCAACACACTGTCACAACTCTTCAGCACTGGGGGTCTAACTCACTTAGCCACAGGATAGTCAGCTGCCTCTTGCCGATATCCACCAGGCTCTTCCAAGTGAGGGAGATGTAGGCTCACACCACTTCTGGTCATCTATGAGCTTCTCCTGACCCATTTGGACTCTTGAACAAGGCCTTGCAAATAATCCTAGGAACCTCAGGGTCTTCTGGCTGGCTTCCTCCTAGACTTCTGTCCCTGGGGCAGAGCCCTCAATAGGGATTTCCTTCAGCAGGACCGGACCCAGGGACACTTTCCCTGCTGCTCAGGCCTCAGTCTATTTGTGGGCTATCTCATTGCCTTCTGGGCACATCTCCCCAGAGATTGGCTAAAATCTCATAAATATTCAGGCTGTAGACTCTGCTGTTCCTCCCTCTATGCTCTATAATTCTGACAAGGGGAAGTAACAGAGCAGCAGCCTGTGAAACACTGAGCAGCCCTAATTAATTAACTAGCTAACTAACTAACTAGATGGCTGCTACATCTATGCTAATACATACACACACAAGTTTCTAGACCAGTTTTGTAACACACCAACAGATGTCAGCACAAGGCTGCACGTACATGCACTGGGAGCACTGACCTTCATAAGTCAGTGTGCCAAAAGACATTGTCTTGCGTACATCAGGAGCTGTGCAACTGGTGCTATTCTGACCACATGCATTAGCACGTCTGCTATTTCATTATGGACAACAAGTTAGAACAAAGAGCAAAGTGAAATTCTGCGTGAAACCCCTACACCCAAGTTTTGTCACTGGTAATGATGATCTGCATGAAGGACGGGTCATCCATGGCACGCTGATGGATTTCCTGGCAGAATTCTTCTCAGAATTCATTACTAGCCTCATGCAAAGTAGAGTGTTTCTAAAACAAACATGATCTATATGTCTTATTTTCATTAAAAATCTCCCAAAAAATGGACGTATTCCTCATTTCAAGAGCCATGCCAGTTATTCCTTTATGCCCCTTGGCCAACTCTACTGTACATCAGAAGTCACTGATTTATAGCACAGATACAGCCTAATATTTTAAAGCCATTTTTTCCAAACTGCATGAGTGTAATTAATGAAAGAAACGCTGTTATGGAGTACTGCTTGTAAACCAATGAAAAAGTATAACCTGACAGGTTGTGGTCAGGTGGACCAAAATATACCAAACAGCCCTCCATTGATCCAGTACAAAGCACAGTAGAGCCTTCTTAAAACAGAAGACACTTATATAACAGTTCCATCACAAATCCCAAAAACAAGGGGTTTATTCCTCATTTTAATATAGTGGACAGGGCCATGCAGTTTTGAAGTCCCTCAGCCAGCTGTATATCTAGAGCAGTTGGTTTATAGCACAAATACTAGATGCTTATTGGCTTCATAAAAATCTACGGGAAATGTTATAACAAGTGGAATAATGCAGACCAGGAGACAGACGTGGTTCTGCAAGCAGGGACCTCGAAGATGGAGATCTTTGGATTGGGAGAGCCAGGTACTTAGGGACATTCCTTTCATGAGGCCATTGGAGACTGCTGCCTCAGACTGCACTCATAGAAGGGTGGACACAGTATCAGAACAGTTCTGTACAGCCAGACGTGGCAAAAAACCCAGGCATGGTATTACTGAACTACCTGTCCATCCAATCCACCTATCACATAGGCAGACGCAATTACCAAGGCTTCTCAATGATGTTAATCCTGTTAAAAGTGCAACATCATCTTTTGCTGCCAGCCTCTGCATCTAGCACACAGCAGGGTTATTCTCAGTGACCTCGGTCTGCACCTTGAACAGGCTGCCACCCCCAGAATTCTCCTGGGGGTACGTGTAGTTTACACCTTCCTATCCCTGTTCTAGAGTTCTTTTTTTCTCTGACCTGCCCTATAAACCTCATGACGCAATTTATTTTAAGGTTTTAAGGTTGTATGAATGGTGAGCGACTTCTGAAATATCACAGAAGGATAACAGAAATGTCCAACTAACAACTGACATTTGTCCCTATCAAAAAACAATCCAGATAAAAGATAGAAAACATTAAAAATATGTAAATAGCTATAATTATGAGATTTACATTGTGTTTATAAAGTTTTCCTAAAATAAAAGGTGGAATTATACTTCAGTTTCTTACCACTGATCTGTGACACTTGTTGGTACAACTTAGAATCTGGGGAAGAAAAGGTCAGATAGTCACTCTGCTTTGTAAATTGATTGTAAAGTCTAACATTTATTTTTTTTAAATAACAAACAGGTTTATCCACTTGACCTCTGGAAGATTTTACACACTTCATGACCAGGCCACTTTTTGCTATTTGGCAGTGTGATACTTAAACTGATAATTGCCTGATCATGCAAAACTATACTCGAACAAAATTTATATAATTTACCCAAGAAAAAAAATGTACAAAATTACATTTCTTCATAAATTTAGCCCAAAAGTATTCTTTTACATGCCTCTGGTAAATAAAAAAAAAAAACTCCAAATATTTGGTTTGTGGGTCCTATTTCCTATGTACAGCCCTACGCTCTAATACATGTGTAAAAGCCCTGACAGTTTCTAAGAATTTGCTGACATTTAGTCTTTGCAGACATTGTGACCATTACAATACATAGAGGACTACAGGAATATCACATGGTGCCATGCAATATCAATTGGACATCATAATGTGAGTTAACACATTGTGACACCATGTCATTGACAATGACATAGTGTGCTGGGTTTGACAAGGGTGAGGTCTGACAAACCCCAAACTGCGTGGAAATAATGGGGGGGGGGTGTTGTAACTAAACACTGCGACACTCCCATTTTCCCCAAAGCGTGCAAGACAGTAACAAAATGTCAGATTTAAATCTCTTGTCTATACTAGTCATTGTTTTTGGGGTGCCCTTTGAGAGATGGAGCTAGTTCACCTAAGACACAGGGGTCTAAGTGACAGTTGGTCTTCACCAAAGTGCCCTCACAAGGAATGATGGGCTGTAGACCCTAATGGTCACAGGTTTCTTCTGTTGGAATCTGGCACCAGGTCGTAACCCATCGCCTAACCAAAAGGATGTTGAAACAGGAAGGCTACAATGTGTAAACTGTATACTACAGTGATTCCATCTTTAACAGGGATCAGCCAGGTTTAGAACATGTAAAACATGCATGGTTACAATGGTCCAAACTATGCAAAAATTGCCATACCCGCAATTCAGCTCTAACTAATTCAGGTGACCAGAAAGGCTGCTGTAGCAATTCTCATGTCTTGGCAATCTTAAAATGCCCATAAAGAGATCATTCCGAACACTAAAAAAATATGCTCAGGGATTTTGTAGGACAAAGATATTGTTTTCATGCAAAAGTGGAACATTGGAGCAGTGGAGATCCAAATCATTAGTAACTAGATGAGTCTTGTAAGTTTCTTTTGCAGCACCCTCTAGTGTACATAGTTAGGTAAATTTAGTCTGGCTCACAAAGTAGCTAAAGTGAGCATGTCTGTGGGTTTCAAGCTGGAGGGCTCTGCAGGTCAGGCCTCTGTCAACTCCCCCTGGTTCTGGAAGTTTCCAGAAACGTCTAGGAGCTAGTGGGCAGGGGTTCAAGAGCCGGTATCCGAATATTCATGGGACCAATCCCCAGGCAAGGCCTGGCAGAGTGGTAGGATGTTCTCATAAATATTGAAAAAACTTGCCAGTAGGGGTTGTGGTTGGAGTATGGAGCGCTAAGTCGAGGATTGTGAGGCCTGGAGGGGACCCCGGGGCTGGGAGTTCTGCCTCCAGGCAGGAACTAAGGAAGGAAAAAAAGATGCCGTTTGATCAGTGGGATCTCCACCACCCTTCATTCTCATCCAGGAGACACCTTATATTGCATGGGAGGACTTGTACTGCAGGAGGTCTGAAAAGCAGTCTTTGCCGAGCAGCAGCACAGTATGCGTACCTCTACTTACCACCCCTAGAGCCAACAGAAGGAGAAGGCAACCAGATGCAATATTTAGCTAGCCTAAAAAGGGACAGTGCCACAACTTGCCTTAACCCCTCCTCTGCTCTGGGATTCACTCATAGAAGCCATGTGCGCTGGCTATTCCAACTAAGGGGACATAGAGATCTTGCTTACAGTTAGGACATTGCAATTTCTACTAAGGGGACATAGAGCTCCTAAGAGCAGATGGGATGTTTACTATTGATCCAATAAGGACTGGCATTACAGTACAGTCTAGGATCCATTTTGCTGCAAGTTGTACATAGAGAAGGTATCCTCCAAGTTGTGGTTGAACTCAGTTGGGCATCCCATAACCCCTTATCCCCATCCAAGTTTATATTCTCCCAATAAAACATAAAAAAAAGCCCAAGGACTGGTTACTGACTGCAGATGCAAGCTGAAAAATGTGTGTTGCGTGGATGTGCAGACAAAGGGGGACCCAAAAATCCAGCTCCTCCAGAAGGGGTAGCATTACACTTTGATCTGATATAACAGACTGGGTTGAACCATAAAAATATTCTTGACCAAAAGGATGGTATCAGATGGCACAGAAATAGCATTGTTGGAAAACATACATGGTAGGGAGTCATCTTTGATGTTTTTAGACCTGGGTCAGAAAGTCAAGTGGAAATAAAATCTGGAAAAGAAGGGAGCCCATCTAGTCTGGTATGCAATAAAGCACTTCACCTGAAGACTGAGTTGTCCATCAAGTCTGCCCGTTTCGTTTTTTTGTTTGTTTGTTTGTTTTTTTTTTTTTTTTTTTTTTTCCAAAATGTTTGTTTTTTATACATGTTCTGTATTTTTCTTTTCTTGTTAACTTTTTTGTCTAAATATAGATCTATGTGTGTCCCAAGCATGTTTGAAACCATTTAATGTTGACTGACTCACTAGCTTTGCTGGAAGTCTATTCCATTTCTAAGATTAGTTTTGAATTTTCCTCTAGTTAGTTTGAGGTCATGTCCTCCTGTTCTTGATTTTGGTTTCATATTGAAAATACTGCCCTCTTGAACCTTATTCACCTTCTTGTTGTGTTTAAAGATTTCAATCATGTCTCCCCTTTCTCTTCTTTCTTCATACTGTACATATTAAGTTCCTAAATTTGCTCTTTATTTGTTTTATCCCCCAGACCTTTCACCATTTTTGTTACCCATCTTTGGACTCATTCTATCTTTTCAATATCTTTTTGTAGGTAAGGTCTCCAGAACTGGACATATTATTTTAAATTAGGTCTAAATAAAGATCTATATAAAGGAATCAGGACCTCCTTCCACCTGCTTGTGATCCCTCTAGTAGTGATACATCCTAAAATTCTATTCATTTTCCCCCCTGCCTGGTCACACTCTTTGCTCATTTTGCAATCATCTGAAATAGGTAACCTGAAATCCTTTTCCTCTGTAGTGCTGGCCAACACTGTACCCCCTATGTTGTACTCTCTCAAGGGATTCTCTTTACCTAAATGCATTATTTTACATTTAGAAACATTGAACTGTGGTTTCCACTTCTTTGACCAATCTTTCAGCAATGCCAAATCATGTTCCATATTACAGATACCTCCAGGGATTTTATGTAATTTTACTTCACCCTTTCAATTAATTTTTTTAGAAATGTACCCATTTTAGCAAAATTTGTCCTTTTGAAATCTAAAACTTGTATATGTAAAGTGTGGAAAATATATTTCTTGTGTGGATATTCCTTTTTTCTTGAATATAAAGGCCTATGGCCGTGAAAGTCGTGGGAAGGCCTATAGCCAGGAAATAGGCGCTATATGGCAAAAACTTTTATCTACCAGCAGCGAAGCGGGGGGCCCCGGCCAATCATAAGCCCTCTTACAAGGGTAACCTTGTCATCTCAAACTCCTTATACAGGTATGTGATACTTTCTGTCACCAATATCAAAATTTCTCTCTGCTGGGATCATCTTCATCTTCAACAAGTGTGCCTTAGGACCAGAGCATAGGGACAGAATTGCTTCAACTACTGTTTCTGAAGTTACAAATTCAGCACATGAAAAATGCAGCACAGCATCTGGGTGTTCCATGATAGGTGCAGAGATAAAAAGTGTCTTCAACTTGCTGAAAGCAGACTACTGGGCTTTCGGTAGTCATGAAAAGGAGGTGTGTGAGCTGGTAAGCTGAATTAGAGCAGCAAAAATGGAGGAGACGTTTTGGATGAATTTGTGATAAAAGTTTGCACCCTCAGAAAGCGTTAAATTCTCCTGTTGTGGTGGAAGGGGGACAAGGGAGCAGTCCATACCAATGCCTCTTAGCTTCTTTTAGGGTCCACAGTGATACCCTCAGTGGAGATAAGGCCCAGGAACGGGATGGTCTTTCATTCAAACTTGCATTTATAAGGCTTGACATTCAGGCAGGGAGTATAGAGATGGCCTAAAACTTGGTTTCAGTGCTCCCCCAGTGAGGAAGGGAAAATAAAAATAATGTCATTAAAAAAAAAACATGAACATGTTGATGACACCTCTGAAGATATCGTTGATAAAATGTTGGAAAGTGTCCAGGGCCTTGCAAAACACAAAGGGCATTATGAGCTATTCAAAGTGCTCAAACATGGTACGGAAAGCTGTCTGCCATTCCTCTTCTACTCTAGAAGGTCCAAGATTGAGAAGGTCCAACTTAGTAAAGCTCTTGACAGACTGAAAGTTCTAGGAAATCTCTCGAAATAATAAGAGCAGGTAGTGGTTCTGTGTGTCTACTGTACTGAAATAGTGTATTATGCTTTATCTACTGTGCAGGGTAAATAGTGTTCTGCTAGCGTGTTCCATTTTCGGTGTTGTGTATAGTGTGCCAGCTATCATGTGTACATTTACAATCTCTCCAGGGTCAATGGCCAAAATTATAAGATGATGCAGTACTAATACCAAAAATGTAAAAAAAAAGCACTTTGTTTTCTTTTCTTTTTTAAATATCAAATATAATTGTATATCTACACACAATTTTTGTAAAATAAGAAAATGGTGTGTATAACTGTAATATTGGTACTTACAAAAAACAAACAGGAGGCTTATGAAAACCAACAAAACAGAGAACTTCAGAAAGAGAAGGCCCAACAGCATAAAAGTCACCCGGCCTCTTCTATTCTTGCCAGCTGGAATTAAAATGTATATACAAGTAAAATATATTCAAGCTATGGAAGGTAGAAAGTGCAGGCAGTAGTCACAAAATCAGCTAAAATCTGGATCCCCAGGCACAAAAAATATGCATATAAAATGTCTGTAGATGATGCCGACTCACCCAAAAGTTGAAGGTGGTGCTCTCAGGACCAAACGCATATAATGGAAAAAATGCCAGTGGGTAGAGCCCCCATGGAAAAGAAGTCCTCAGGAGAACAGTCTGCGGCTTAAAACATCGTGCAGGCAGCCCATAGATGTGGATGTACACACAGAGGTTGCACAATTGCATGTCAAAAGTATACACACGGGCAGGAGCTGCTGCACGGATCCAAACACAGGCATTGTGTATTTGGAATCACATCACATGCAGAGATGCATGAAATAATTTACACAAACACTTCCACTTTCCACAAATATTTCCCTTTTCAACACTATTCTACTTATATCTATCAGTATGATTTTGTATACCTTTTATGTATAAGCATAACATGTTTTCCTAGTCTATGGTACACTATTAATTACATATGTTTGCCTATTAGCCCTGAAGAAGGCGAAGCAGATCCTTAAAATATGTTGGATTACTGCTAGCTTTTACATCTGCTTAGGGGGTGAAGGCAAAGTCTAAGGAAACGTCGTGCAAACGTTTCCTTACCCTTTAAAGTCAATTTTTTTTTTTATGTCCCTTTCTCTGCATTTAGGCTTTACGTTGTCTGTGAATTAAGGCGGGGGGGGGGGGGGTAATAAATATTTACCATTGGCTTTTGCTCGTTGGGCCATCCTCCAAGTATTTTCATCGTCTTGATGATGTCCTCCTAAAAAAAGTCAAAACATACAAATTAAAGCTCAGCTCTCGGCTATTTTTTCAATATGTCCAACAGCAGGTATAAAAATAAAAGAGTAGCTCTAGCTGCAATCTCACCTCCTCTCTGACACTGTTTCTTGCAGTAATCTCTGTTCATCACAAGATGTTCTCAGTCTTCTGGGCTAATTGATAACCACTCATTCAGAACACTGAAGGTATATATTAAGTGCAGGTCCTCATGGGCCCTTCCTCTGAAGTAGTGCATGGTAGCCAATCAGCTTCTAACTTCAGCACGTTCAGTTAAGCTTTAGTAATAAAATCTGGAAGCGTGTTGGTTTCTCTGCAGAAGTGTACCAGATTTGCACTCTCTAGTTTTAGTTAATAACCCCACAGTTTACTAGTTCAAATAGGAATGCTGACATCAACTAGGAATGCTGACATCAGCACATTTCACATTTTTCTGCATCACTGAGGGCTATAAATAATAATGAATGTGATAAATCAAATAACCACAAATAATAGCGCAATCCTAAATCAAATCAATAAATGAATAAATAACTAAATATATCCACCACCATATATGTGCAAAAATATTCAGTGCTAAATCATATATAGGAAGTCCCCATATAGTCCATTCAGAAAAGTCCATATATCAATGATCCTCAATAAATGAAGTAATGAGATCCTCTTTCACCAGTGTGATATCCAGTGCACAGAACACCCCATCAAAATGCACACTCACCATGTGCTGGTGATAAACCAGCATATTATTTTATATCCAGCATTCCACCAAACAGGATCCAATTTAGGGAAATCCTCTCATATCCAATTAGCACATGTGAATGAAAAGAATACTCGCCATAGTGCAATATCATCCAGCAAATTTATTGTAAAAAAACCCCCTGTAGCCTCTCTGAATGTATTCCCGAGTGTAGCTTGGGGTGAAGTTTCAGTACCAAAAGCAGTAACCCCGAGCTGCACTCGGGAATACCATGCTGCGCTGCTCCGGCATCTGTTCTTCACTTACCTTGTCCTGCGCTCCCGTGATGTCCCTCCTGCAGTGTTCCCGGCAATGTAATCCGGCAGATGCCGGCATCTCTCTTCTGGGTTCCGTCCCCTGCAAGCATCGGGACGTACGGGGGACGGAACGGCGGGAAATTTGAAAATGCCAAAAAGTGACATTCACTAAATACACTAAAATCACATAGTAACACATTACTGTATCAAACCATTTCACATACATTTTGTCCCGAGTGCTTTGTCCTGTGCCCTGCCTGCATTTGTACTGTTCTTTCTGCCTGGAAACTGAGAAATGTCCATGGCGTCCAAAAAGCGTCCCTTTAGGTCAAAAGCAGTTTTAGACCGGCTAGAGAACAGCGATAGTAAATTAGAACCACTTGCAGAATTGAGTGATAATGATTCGTGGGGAAATTCATCATCAGACACTGAAAACAATTTTGTGACTTTGCTCAGTGATGTGCGAACTTGGCGCTATATTTCAAATTTCAGTGTTTTTGGTTTGATTATATTATTGAATTAAATTTATTATTATAACATTATTATTTTTTATGATTATTTATTAAATTATAATTTATGATTTCGTGTTTCAAATTTTATCATACCCAGGATGTTTACTAGACTCTTGTTCGGACAGATTTCAGTGACTTATTCCTAAAAATTACAGGCCTACAATATAAAAAAAATACATATTTCCATGCAAAAAAATGTACCGCTTTGAGCACAGAAATATGGACATAAGCAGACCGCTAGGGAGGTTAAAACCACACTAACAATGAGCAAATATATACACAGCGTTTGTTAATATTCAGAGCTACAAGCTCTGTGTCCAGCGTCTCACCAGCCTGCCTGCACTCAAGATGGCGATAGTGCGATCACATGGTCCGGACACGTGCATCACCGTGCGTAGTGACATCACCGGTTAGCCACACCCTAACGCGTTTTGTCCAATGACTTCTTCTGAGGGAGTGGTAAGCAGTACATGGAGGGCGCTCTTAAAGAGCCACCTCCTTTCTAATTGGCCCAATCAATAAAACACCTGAAGGTGTAATGTTGTTACTTAAACATAATGCTATATATACACCAGACTACCTCATTGCAATAGCACCATCTTGTGTGCAAATACTAATATAACAATGAGATAATAACAACATATATCATTGTAAAAGCCATCAACATAATAACGTTTATATACTCAAACAAATATACTTTAAATCAATAATAATTAATATAGAAAAATTATATATTTTTAAAATATATATATATAAATATGAATGACACTAAAATAAATAAAATAAATTAAAAATAAAAAAATTATTAAAATAAAACAAACTAAACTAAAAAATTCATGCATCACTAATGAAACAATTTAAGTCCAGTTCAACGTTTAAACCCTTAGGAGATAAAGCTTTGGTTAAGTAAATGCATTTAGTTTTACATTTTGAAAGCTCCCTAATTCTATTGGATCCCCTCCAAGCTTTGGGAATAGACTCAATGGCCCAAAATTTTAAACTGGTTGGATCACAATTATGATATTTCTAAGATACACTATGGTACTTGTACCCCTTGCTAATATTCCTTAAATGTTCAAGCACCTTAACCTTCAGTTGTCGCTTGGTCCTCCCAATATAAATAAGGCCACATGGGCATTCCAAACCATACACTACATGGGTGGAATCACAGGTTAAAAAAGAAGAAATATTGAATTCCCTATGATTGGAATTGGAGGTAAATTTAACCAATCCCTTAAATTTATGTTTAGCCAAACTACACGCTGTACATTTTTTGCAAGAATAAAAACCTTTTCTATCTTTAAATATATTCAAAGTCTTAGGGGGATCCAGAATTTTCTGGACTATTTTATCTCCAATAGTAGGGGCCTTCCTATAAATGAATACTGGTTTTGCGGGAATAACATTCCCCAATAATTTATCAAGCCTCAAAATGTGCCAATGTTTATAAAAAATATCTTCAACAGCCTTATATTGTATATGGTAATTGGAAATAAACCCCCACTGATGTCTATCACTTGGGGCTAGTTTAGGTTTCTCAACCAACAATTGATCCCTGGGGATTAATTGAACCTGGTCAACTATATCCTTCAGTTTATTCGATTTATAACCCTTATCCATAAATCTGTTTACCAAAATATCCGCCTGAGCTTGAAACACAACAGCCTGACTACAATTCCTCCTCATTCTCATTATTTGACCCTTGGGTATATTCCTCAACCACTGAGGGTGATGTCCACTAACCATTGGCAGATAACTATTTCTATCTGTGGGTTTGAAATACATTTTGGTAAGCAATGTATCATTAACCCTAAAAATGGTGAGATCCAAGAAATGTACTGATTCAGCACTATATTGATAATCCAACTTAATATTATTAGGATTATTATTCAAACTCTCCAGAAAACTTAATATTCCTCCATCATCACCAGCCCAAATCATGAACATGTCATCAATAAATCTCTTGTATAGCAATACCTGCTCACGTTGATGGTTGAACACCAACCTGTCCTCCCATTCTGCCATGAACAGGTTTGCTATACTGGGCGCAAAATGGGCTCCCATTGCTACACCCCTCTTCTGGGAAAAGAAGCTGTGATTGTACCAGAAGTAATTATGGGATAAGCAAAATTCTAGAGTGTCTCTCAAAAACTTCTTTTGATTATATGGTAAATCCTCCCTTTTACTCAAAGCCCAGTTGAGAGCTAACAAGGCATCATCATGTTGTATAATGGTATAAAGAGACGACACATCTGCCGTAACTAGATATAATCTCGAATGGCCAGTAATTTGAACTTCAGCGAGGAATTTGAGTAGATGTTTGGTGTCACGTAAATAAGTCTTAGTGGATGACACACTTGGTTGTAAAAACACATCCAAATATTGACCCAATCTCGCAGATACTGAACCAATACCATTTACAATAGGCCGATTCATTATTATTTACAGTGTACTATTATTATTATTAATAGCAGCACCTAATGTTTTATACCCATTATCTTATTATATTGGTGTGATGATGTTGGTTTAAGAAGTGTTTTGAGTGTTATACTCATAAAAAACACTTTTAGGTGACTGACCTAATTGGTTATCACTGAGGACTACCCTGTCTGGAGAAGAGGAAGAGGTAAAAAGGTAAGTATAAATTAATACACAAGTGGTAGCTGGGGCATTGGGGGAGGCGCTATCACTGGGTTGGAACATCTTGAGCTGTAGTTAGGCTTAAAAAAAATGTAAAAATGCAGGCTGGGAGATGAGGGTTACATATCAAGAGATAGTTAAAATGTTTCATTGTTTCTGTTAAAAATAAATAACAGTAACTATTTTAGAAATAATATCTATAATTTAACGTATTTAATGGGTAAGCAATTACATTTTAAGTTAAAATGTACAGTGTATTGAAAAAGTATTCATAACCCTTGAAATTTTCCTCTTTTTGTCATGTTACAACCACAAACGTAAATGTATTTTATTGGGATTTTATGTGATAGACCAACAAATAGTGGCACATACAGTTGCAAGAAAAAATATCTGAACCCCTTGGGATTACGTGGAGTTTTGCATGAATTGGGCATAAAATGTGCTCTGAACGTCATCTAAGTCACAACAATAGAAGAACACAGTCTGCTGAACATAATACTACACAAACATTAGATGTTGCCATGGTTTAATTGCACATAACATGTAAACATTCACAGTGCAGGGAGGAAAAGTATGTGAACCTTTGGACTTAATAACTGGTTGACCCTCCTTTGGCAGCAATAACCTCAACCAAATGTTTCCTGTAGTTGCAGATCAGACCTGCACAACGATCTGGAGTAATTTTGGACCACTCCTCTTCACAAAACTGTTTCAATGTAGCAATAGTCTTGGGATGTCTGGTGTGAACCGCTCTCTTAAGGTCATGCCACAGCATTTCAATCGGGTTGAGGTCAGGACTCTGACTG